TTTGCATAAATATTGAGATTATATTCAACACTGCTGAAACAAAACAGAAAATAGAACTAGTGATCTGCCAGCAGAATTAAGCACATGAGAGACAGGATAAAGTACACATATTTTTATGGAAGACTAAACTTTTGCCACTGGATTCAATATACCGAACTAAATAGCTTTTTTTTGTTCTTGCATCTTGTGAAGACCCCTGCAAATCTTATTATAACTATGATAACTGGTGGGGTTTTTCACCTCTGTTCACAAAAGAAAAAAGTTTATGATAAGTTTTTAACTAGATGAAAAGATGACACTGTGATTTATGAAGTTACTAGTTTTTTATTTAAATGAAAACTTTTAATTTTCTCATATTCTACAGTTTAGTAAGATTCATCTAAGTGACAGACTTTTTTCTTCAATGGATGATAAAGAAAAGAAAGGTTTCTCATAAGGGATGGGCTTTTTAAGAAACCAATGACAGTTTCTTAAGGAAGGAAGACTCTGAGCGTACTGGTGGATTAAGAACTGAATACAATCCAGCAATGTACACTTGCAGGCCAAAAAGCAAATTGCACCCTAGGCTGCACCAGAAGTGTGTCTAGGAGGATGAGAAGTGATTCTGTCCCTCTGCTCTAGTGAGACTCCACCTTCAGTGCTGCATCCACCTCTGGGGCTCTCAGGATAGGAGAGACAGGGACCTGCTGGAGAAGATCCAGAATAGGTCCACAAAGATGATCAGTGACTGGAGCACATCTCCTCTGAAGACAGGCTGAGAGAATTGGCATTGTTTATTCTAGAGACAGGAAAGCTTCTTGGAGACCTTAGAGCTGACTTTCATCACTTAAAGGGGGCCTATAGGAAAGACTGGGACAGACGTTTTAGTGGGCAGAGTAGGGACTGGACGAGGGATGAGGTTTTGAAACTGGAACAGGTAGATCTAGATTAGATATTAGAGGGAAACCTTACTGTGATGGTGGCGAGGCATTAGAAGAGGTTGACCAGAGAAACTGTGGATGATCCATACTTGGAACTGTTCAAAGCCAGGTTGGATAAAGCAACCTGGTCTAGTGTTCCTGGCACGGGGGTTGGATCTAGATGATCTTTAGTTTGCCTTCCAACTAAAACCATTCCATGATTCTATGAAGTCTACTCAGCCTTTATAGTCTGAAGAACTCATAATCCAAACCAACAACCCTCTCCTCCATTTAAGCCAATATTTTCAGCTGTGTATTCTTATACTCAGGTTCTATATAGGCATTAGAAGAAAAAGCTTTTATTTAAAAATGATTAAGCTTTCTCTTTTGTTGTTGATCAATATTTCTGGAGTAAAAGAAGTTGCTTTCAATAGAGGAATATGAAATTACAAATCTGAGTTCAAACAATAACTTTTGTAGATTTTGAATAAAGTAACTGGGGCCATGATTAATAAACAGAGATTTAACTCATGAGACATTAATTATCTACTGAAAAAGCTGAAGTGAAACTAGTTCCAGTGAAAACTTTAATTGGAAGTTCTATACATGAAAGTTTGATTTATACATTAAAGTTTTCTTCCTTGATTTATGAGGAGGAAATTCTAAATCCTTTTCTACATTTTAAAAGACCTAAACATTTCATAGAATCAAAGAATCATTCAGGTAGGAAGGGATCTCAGAAGGCCAAACAGTGCGAACTCCTGACTGAAGCACTCTTATCTTTAAGATAGGTCCTCTTTCCTTCCATAAAATGCACAGTTCAGCAATGGCCATCTCTGTTTCCATGTGCTTCCTGGACAGGCTGCTACAGCATCTGCTACCTGCTACAACTGAAAGCAGGAAGGAAAATGTAACTAGCCTACAAAAAAGTTGTAATAATTTCTGAAGTAGGTGATAAAACAGATTTAAGCAGCCTTTTCCATTGTTCATAAGAGTTGCTATTAATTTAGAGGTGAAATTTAAAGTTTTGGATGCTGATTACAAAGACAAAGGCTCATGATCTTTATGAAAACATGTTTTTGTTCCTGTAAGTTATGATATGGTTTGAAAGAGTTTGTATGACACTAATTAATAGAGAGGAAAAGGAGGCTAAATGCTCATAGCAGTTTCTGGAAAGAAAAAGGGCATAGGAACCAGTTGGTTATTGTTTAATGATATTATAGAAATAGCAGATGGCTGACATCCACAGAGATGGTCTATGTTGTGTAGATATAAAAGATACAAACATTTGTCAATTAAACATCTATCAGACCTGCTTGGAAGAGAGAACTCCCTGGTATCTACTGATAAGTCCAAAGGATCAGAAGAGAGAAAAAAACAAACTGGAGAAGGCTCAAAAGGAAGCACATAGATTTGCTTTCAAATCTTCAGCAGCTGAAAAAGATGAAGTTAAAGGGACAGAACGTTCAGAGAGTGATTGCTATTAGTAAGGAGAGATGCCAGGCCAGAGTCAGCCTCTCATGTCCGTGCCTTTACAGAAAACAGAAAGTGCTGAAGTTCAAGTAGTCAGCAAAGACTTTACATACTGCCTTTCTTCATTGAATCTATAACCAGACATTTTCTTTCTGAGCTCCCTTCCCTAGGGTGAGTGTTGAAAAAGCAGCCAAAGACAGAGAAATTCCTACAGAGAAATGACAGCTGCATGCTCATACAGACATGAGTGGCTTTGCAAGACTTCAACCACTGGTATATTTATTAATGGGGAGAAAACTACATCTTCTTTTTGACTGAAACATTTTTAGAGTTCCTAAATGAAGGTAAATTTTTTTTCTTTCAGATAACTTTAGATTTTCTTCAATCTGCAATGTAATACTTTGTGTGCCAGTGTTCTTGGGCAAGATTCTAAGACAGGAAGAACCACGTAAAATTTTGCATAAAAGAAGAAATTACAAATAATAAGGCTTATTTAAAAAAAACCAACCCAAAATTACTGATATTAAGTTTTTTATTTAAATTATTACTAATAATTTAAATAAAATTGTCATATTTGTGCTCTCAAGAAAATAAGAACACTGGAGCTCTAAATCACGGCAACCTCTCATAAAATATTATTCTCCTAAATTTTTAAATCAAGGTATTATATCTTTCATTAAGGTACAGTATACTCTGACACTGAAGGACAGATTAATTAACTGAAAATACTACCTAATAACTAAGCTAACAATTTCATCTCTTGGTAAAAATAATAGATTTTAGGTTTGAGTCAATTTTAGATTGAGTCAATATTTAGAGTGTATTAATTCATCATGAACAGATATTGCACCATTAAAAGAGAATTTAAACAATTCCTTGTGGTTAAAATTGTTTAACACATGCACATGCATGTCCCCAAATATTTGATGTTATATTATGCTCCTGTATGTATACAAGTAATATATTTATATTTTAAGATGCAAAGCTAGTATACATTGCACTTTAGTCTGTCTTAGCTTCATTAGCAGTGACTGCATTCACTAATCCACCCCTCCAGAATTTAAGTGAACTTAACATTTCAAACCAACAGACCCCAAACTAAACAAACTTTCAAAGAAGAGGAAAAAAAATTAAAAAGGGAAAAAAAAAAAAAACCAAAACCAGCAACAACTAAACAAACAACCAAACCAAACCAAACTAACCAACCAGTCAAAAAACATGTCCCCAAAATAAAAGAAAAACAACCTCAACAACTTTGCAAATACATTTTCTGAAGAAACAGTGTGGACAACAAGATATATCATCTTCAGACACAACAGAGTAATTATTCAGACATTTCACTAAAGAGTTCTTTAATCTAGTTTCTCAGGATCTTACTGACTTACCTAAAAAACTAGCTTCATTTCATTTCAAAAGGGGAAAACCACTTTTTATTCTAATAGAGAAGACTCATTTCCCACTGGATTAAGAAATATTGGCATAAAATCCAATATTTTATCAGCAGAAAATCCATTCAAAATATAGATCAATTTCAGATCTTTATCTTTCAGGCATAATCATTTTAATGTCTAATAATTGAGAAACTAATCTTATAAAATTGGGGGCTTTCTTTTTAGTATTTTCTTATAAATTATCTAGAGTAATTTGTATGCAAAATTATCACATACAGAAAAAAAATAGTAGATATTAGAAAGCATATAAATTGTTTGTGCACAGTTTCATCCATCTAAAGCAGTCTGTTGCAAACTCATCCTGCTGAAAAAACATCTTTATATAGGCATTCTGTGTATGTCACTGTATACAAAGTAAAATAATTGCACACAGTTACCAAATTATAGGAAATTGAACCTTACTAGCATAGAAGAACAAAACAATCTTTTCCCCTATAGGACAGACGAGAAACTAAAATCTTTACAGGATAGAGAGACAAGACAAAATTTTACTAATAACTTTCAATCCTGTATTATGCATATTTCCCATTCTCCTTACAGAGTAAAATTTTAAAATTAAAATTTGTATGGAAAATCAAAGAATAAAGAACAAGGGCAATAATAGCTTGCAAATAGTTTTTGCAGTATCATTATGAATGAAGCCAGTAAAAAATAGGCAAAAAATGCTCAAAAATAACATAAAATGAATTTGTAAAAAACTTCCCAAGTGAATTATCCTTATGCTTTAAAGTTCTTACAGGCAAGATTTAAATTATCTAATTTAGGGTCTAAAAAAGAATTTACCTTTTCTCTTTTATTTATATACATAAATGTAGAGAACATTCAGGTAATCTGTGATTTTTAGTAACACTTAAGATTTACATAGGGTTCACAATTTAAGATTGAAATTCAGCAATCTTTAACTAAGACCTAGAGGTCTATTATCACCTTATACAGTAAAGAAAAGTTTACGAAAAAAACACATCAGAGCATGGCATTGGAATTTATAAAACACTGTCTAAAAGAACTGCTGAGAAACACGGAACATGTAAGTACAAGGGAAAAAGAGTATCAGCAAGTTAATAAAGTCTAAGGTAACATTTTGTTAAAGAACATGTTATGTTTACCCCTTCCAGCACTAAAGCTTTAAGGCTTCTAAGGAGCTGCTGTGACTCTCTATTCCCAAGCAAAAACTCACTTGTTTGATGCGGTCTGGATTAACAGTGGTCTGAGGCTGTAGGATGCTGACAGGCTCTGTCTTGGCCACATTCTGAGGCATTTCTCGAATCTTCTCTGCAATGAAGCCATGAACTGCGTTTAGTGCTTCGACTGTTCCCTGGATCAGACACACCCGCTCCGTAGTACCTGCAAATACCAAAAGTCATCTGAATGGTGTGGACTCTTCAAGGTCCCACAAACTGCTTCAGTTAGGGCACAAAGATGGCACCCAAAGGCAATGCTGCAACGCCAATCAGCAATACCTCCCTGAAAGTACAAATGAAAAATAACACGCTGATGATGTGAAGGTATTTTAAACAACTATCGGTGTAGATCCCACAATCACTAACTGTCCAAATCACCCTGGATAACATCAGTCAGAATACTCATAACCTTCTTCCAAAATGAAATTGTTCTGTTTCTGGTACAAAAAATCAACACCAGTTCTTATCTATTGATTTCTTATTTAAAAACATCTACAGGATGACTGAAGATGGATGCAGAACTGTGGGAAAATACTTCCTTGATTTTTTTTTTGTTTTTCTTTTTTTTTTTTTTTTTTTTTGGTTTTTTTTTTTTTTTTTTTTTTTTTTGGTGGTTTTTTTTTGTTGTTTTTTTTTTTTTGTTTTTGTTTTTGTTTTTTTTTTGTTTTGTTTTGTTTTTTTTAATGATAAGACTGGTTTTAGATGATTTTATATGACTTTATTGCAAAAAGGGCTATTTTACATATTGGGTTACAGTTTCATACATCTTCACTAAACAAATATAAAACCTCCCAGTACCAATCCTAAGGGTAGGAGTATGATACTTCACTGAAACAATCCATGTTCTGTATTCCACATATCAAACCACTTAAATAGGTTCCAGAAAATCAGTTTTGATTTAAAAAACAGGATCTGACAGGAGCTGGAATAAAACTCCCTAAACCCCTCAAAACCAACTTAAAAAGGAATATTGTAGTTTCCAATTTCATTCTGCAGGAATACCAATATAAGACAACCTACATGCTCAAGTAAAACTGCCTTCAAATTTCACATAATCCGTACTTTCAAAAATATATTCTTTACACTTCCATCATACACAATTTTTTTTGTATTCATCACCTCACTGTTGTCTTCAAATATCAGCAGAACAGTTTTATTAACAAAAGACAATCATAAAATGAACTATCAAGATATTGGTGTATTACTAAAAATATAGTAGTACCATAATACTGATTGTGTTGCAAAGATAAGCCAGATACATATCTCTATTCTATGTCAGTCCATATTGTACTTCAAGACTATGGAGAGGGAGAGCAAAATAACAAATCTGAGCCATGGAATTAGCACCAAAATAAATAAAGCAATATTTTTCATTGACATACGCCTAGTAAATACTATTGATATAAGGACACAAATTAATCTTTTCTCACATAAAATTCATTCACTCTACCTAAAATGAAAATGACAATGTAATGATGTGGCAAATACAAATTTTCAACAATTTCTGAAATTCACCACATGTTGGTTGGCCTCATTTCCACTGTAGAACCTGCATGGAATCACACAGATTAATGTACAAGAGTGGGAAGCAACCTTCTCCTTAAAATTCCCTTTCTATCAATTTTATGTTTATATAATCAGCTTTTATCATCTTAAGATACGCTCCTTATAAGAGTGCAACACAGACTTTAACAAGAGAACAGTACGGTAACCTTAGGAATTTCCAAAAAAACGGCTGGGTTTTATTAGTTAATGCTCTTCACCTGCTTCTGTGAATGATTTCTAATATTAAATATTTTATAACCTAAAGATGAAGAAGCACACCAAGAGCCTTACCTGCTCTTAAGATAATGTATTCACATAAAATCACTTAAAATCTGATTTTTATCTTAAGTATCAGGCAATACTGAAATTCAACACTAGTAGAAGCACCACAGCAAAAAAAGACAGAATAAGAAACATACTTTATATTATTTTTTTGTCTATCAAAATGTTATTTAAAAATAATTAATATTAGAATTAAAACATGTCAACCAATACTTCAAAATATGTCAGATTATTAATCCTTACTATAAAATTAGAATGTTTACACTCTTAACTGCAAGTTATAGAAGTCTCCCAATCAAATGCATAGTTCTCAAGAGGAAGACTTAAAAAATATTTCTGTGACCTCTTACAGCATCTTTTCAACAAATCAGCCTCAAAATACAACTAATTTTCTTTTGCAAATGCTTTCTCAGAAAAGGGAGTTTGACTGCCATGAGAGAAAGTCACCACAGCAAGTGAAACTAGACAAGGCTTTCTTAATGCCTTTTTTCTTTTCCCTACTTGGCTCCCTCCCCTTTTGCCAACATCGCCTGTGGTTTCTGTGTAAAGCAATCCAGCTCCAAGGAAATGCTCCGGGGAGCCCTTACAAGGTAGTATTAATTGTCTCCTAAACGATGAGCTGCGAGGTGGGCTGATCAATGCAGCTAATGCAAGTGTTCTCCGGCTCTGCAGACAACACACGGAAACAAGGCACAGCTCGGGTTACGGGCCAGCCGCCCCAGCGCATCCCGAGAGCGCTCAGCAGGGAGGGCTCCTGTCAAAACCCTCAATGGAAAACACTCCGTGCTAAACAGCAATGTCGGGAGACTTGACCCTAAGTGACTGAAGGGTGTTTTGCAATCCGTGTTATTTTGGAAGGTGCTGCATAATAAAAATATGCCGTATGTAATACCACAGACCAAACATGCTACATTTCAGTATGCATAAACTGGGATGTAGTAGCAGAAATCACTGTCCCATGAAAAAATAAAATTGTGCAACACACCTCACACAAAGTTAAAGTCTGAAACTGCACATTTGCTTTGATAGTCACGTGCGCAAAAAGAATTAAAAGTTAAAAATGCGGAGAAATTGTAAACCCAGGAAGTTTTGAATTGTCTAAATGTTTTTGAAGTAATGCTGTCATATTCCTTCACAACTGTAACAGCTTCTCACTCCGATACTAGAGTACAATAATTTACAAGAATTACGCATAAGAAAAACTGCCAGCTACATGACCAACCTGTATAGCAAAAATAATCCTAGGAATCACTAACACTGGTGAAACTTTTAGTGTATGCATTAAAGTGCCAAATTGCTCATAATTTTCAGTTAACGATTTTATTCAATCCTTTTTTCACATTTCCGTGAATAAAAGCTCAGCCATTTATATATATATACTTTTTGTCATATGATTTTCAAAATATGTATTTAAAATACAGACAAAATTTTTGAAATAGCTGACACAGAAAATCAAACGACCAAAGCTCACTGCCCTTATTTATGTTGTGTAAGCATAAATAAGATAAAATTATTTTCTTTTTAAAAATTATTTACAACTCAATTAGGTACTAAATTCATGTATTGTACACTGCCTTTAATATATGAAGATACAAAACATATACAAGAGAAGAATAATTTTCACACAGATAATGGCTAAATGTAGAAGATGCAATCATCATCCCTGTACATTAAATAAACTCAGAAAAATGTTTTTATTTATGTTTAATAATAACAAAGTCCATAGTAGAAATTTGAATGTTTTGGGAAAAAAATATCTAAAGACATGCTGCTGCTGTTTGTACAATCTTTTGTTTTGTTTTTTTTTTCCCCTAAGGGTCTCAAATTACTCTTCAGCAAGTGCAGTGTCATTTCTTTCCCCTTATATTAGAATGCAAATTCAAGTTGCATGTGTGGGGTTTAACTTTTTCTTATCAAATAAGAGGCAGAATCTAACTGCACAAAAATACCCTGCCTGTACACTCACCAAAAAAAAATATTTGTAAAACCATAAGAGAAAAAAGGAAACCTTTATCTGTTTGTTGTTTGGGTTTTTTTTTGTTTGTTTGTTTGTTTGTTTTTAGTTTATTTTGTTTAGTTTAGAGGAGGGCATTTTTGGGCCCTTTTTTTTACATGGCATTATTTAGAATATTTCTTTTTTCTCTACAGTTCCATAGGAAAGGGAAAAGTGAAATCATCACCAGGCATCACACAATTTACAGGAAACTAGAGAAAAGACTCTTTTGATATCTAATAAATTAGGACTAAAACATAAACAGGCTTGCAATAACTTTATTTTAAGAACTCATTTTTCCTCCTACCTCTAGTAACTATCTATAATTTTACTTCTGGCAAATATTCTTGGACACCACACTGATTTCTTCAACAACTTCCAAACAATGGACCATGATTTTTCTCTGAGAATGTTATTTACTTATTGGACAGCTGATACAGCTTTTATAGCAACCATTAGAATAAATGGCAGGAGATGCAACAGGATAAATGATCCTGATGCTTTTGATGTTTGCATTTCTGTACTTAAGTGGCACACATCTATACATGGTTGCCACTAAAATTTAAAATGCTTACTTAAAGACTCTGATTCAATGTGTAGGAGTTTTTCTGTACTCACAGAAATGCTCACTAAATGGTAAATGTGCTGCTGTGTCTTTGGAAAATAAGAAGCATTTCTCAGCTGAAATGTTTTGAGGAATGCATGGCACCTTTCCGAATGCCTTTCTGGCATTTATATGACTCTATAAACTTTACACTGGGCTTTTTTGTCAATCTTAAAGAGAATTTGAAAACCTAAAAAGCACAATGCAATAGCAGCCCAGGGTAGTCCCAATGCATCCACTAATTAAATCTCCTAGTACTTTTCCAGTGTACCATGCCAATTTCTTGGATACTAAAAGGGAGAACCTGTGAGAGAAGCCAAAGTTAAAACCTTAACTAAGTGAAAGCTGCACTACAATCTCTCATCTGCTCATTTACATTAAGCTTTTTGTTTGACAACTCCCAGTACAGCACTCTACTAAACCCAATGTCCCATACATGGATTCTTGTGACCCATGATCAGCTGGCTGTTAGAGTAGGATTCTATAGAACACCACACAGACTGATTCAGCCAAAACCTGATCTTGTAAACCCCTTGGTAAAATAGGACTGTGCTTAGACACTATTCCCAAGCAAACTAAAAATTGTCAGTAACTTGCTTAACATGAAATTCTGATAAACTCTTTATTGGATATAACACTTCCACTGCACATTTGCATAAAGCCTCAGAAAACGAAAATCATAAAATATTTTTTTTTTTTAATTCAAATGCATTAAAAGTATCTCACAGGGTCTTCAACA